GTGCATCAATCCATCATAAAAGTGCATCTGTCCATCATAAAAGTGCATCTATCCATCATAAAAGTGCATCAGTCCATCATAAAAGTGCATCTATCATCATAAAAGTGCATCTGTCCATCATAAAAGTGAATCTATCATCATAAAAGTGCATCTATCCATCATAAAAGTGCATCTGTCCATCATAAAAGTGCATCAATCCATCATAAAAGTGCATCTGTCCATCATAAAAGTGCATCAGTCCATCATAAAAGTGCATCAGTCCATCATAAAAGTGCATCTGTCCATCATAAAAGTGCATCTATCATGATAAAAGTGCATCTGTCCATCATAAATGTGCATCTATCCATCATAAAAGTGAATCTATCATCATAAAAGTGCATCTATCCATCATAAAAGTGCATCTGTCCATCATAAAAGTGAATCTATCATCATAAAAGTGCATCTATCCATCATAAAAGTGCATCTGTCCATCATAAAAGTGCATCAATCCATCATAAAAGTGCATCTGTCCATCATAAAAGTGCATCAGTCCATCATAAAAGTGCATCTGTCCATCATAAAAGTGCATCTGTCCATCATAAAAGTGCATCTATCCATCATAAAAGTGCATCTGTCCATCATAAAAGTGCATCTATCCATCATAAAAGTGCATCAGTCCATCATAAAAGTGCATCTGTCCATCATAAAAGTGCATCTGTCCATCATAAAAGTGCATCTATCATGATAAAAGTGCATCTGTCCATCATAAATGTGCATCTATCCATCATAAAAATGCACTCCTTCCAGGCCCGACTTTTTGCCTCCACAACCACCCGGGCTGCAGTCCGCTTGGCCTGCCGGTAACAGTCAGCTGCCTAAGGAATCCCACAAGCACAGCCAGGCCCCATAGAACTACTTCTTCAGCTTGACGGCATCCTTTACTTCCGGTGTCCACCACCGGGTTCGGGGATTGCCGCCTTGACAGGCACCGGAGACCTTACGGCTGCAACTCTGAGCAGCCGCTTCGACAATGGAGGTGGAGAACATGGTCCACTCGGACTCAATATCCACAGCCTCCCTCGGGATCTGGTCAAGGCTCCTCAAGAGGTGTGAGTTGAAGATCTCTCTGACAGGAGACTCTGCAAAACGTTTCCAGCAGACCCTTACAGTACGCTTGGGTCTGCCGAGTCTGTTTAGCTTCCTCTCCCGCCATCGGATCCAACTCACCACCAGGTGGTGATCAGTTGACAGCTCTGCCCCTCTCTTCACCCAAGTGTCCAAGACATACAGCTTCAGGTCAGATGAAATGACCACAAAGTCGATCATCGACCTACGCCCTAGGGTGTCCTGGTGCTGCGTGCACTGATGGACACCCTTTTGCTTGAATATGGTGTTCGTTGTGGACAAACTGTGACAAGCACAGAAGTCCAATAACTGAACACTACTCGGGTTCAGGTCAGGGGGGGCATTCTGTCCCTAGAGCTAGTTTCCGTGTCCAGGGATCAGGTTGTTGAGGCCCCTGCCTTCGACTGCCACCCGATCCTCTCAGCACCTGCCCCTTACAGTCCCTCCTGAAGGTGGTGAGCCCACGGGAAGGAGGCCCCACATTGCTCCTTCGGACTAAGCCCTGCTGGACACCGTGGGGGGAGCTATGCTTCCTGATGCAAAAATTTTGTGCTAAATTTAACACAATAAAGCCACAGATCTTGATAACAAGTTGCGTATCGAAACATCCTTTAAAAAAAAAAAGTCTTGATTTGTAACGGTGTAATTCACACAAATCACCACACGAGGGCGCAACACTTATGTTTATTAGACCCGAATTCAATGGTGTAATTCAGACAAATCACCACAGGAGGGCTCAACACTTTTATGTTTATTAGACTTGATTTGCAACTGTGTAATTCACACAAATCACCACAGGAGGGCGCAACACCTTTATGTTTATTTATTTAGCAGAATGACAGAAACCGAAGCGCAGTTTTCATCCGCTCCACTAGGCGGCGTGAGCGGGCATCACTGTCAGAGCGACTCCTTCGGGTCCTTGGCAACATTGACGCTTGTTGATGACAGACGCTACAACATGTGCAGATGACAGCCACACAACTGGACATATTTCAGCAAATAAAACGACATACAGTCCGATAACATGCGGGAATTGAGTGTCATTTAACTTCTCGGTAAGTAACTTTGCACATAAAGTGAATTTCTTTTGTAAAATGATATTTGTGAAGAAAATGAAATAGACGCTAAATGTTTTGTATAATTGTATGTTTCACTGATGCATCGTTCTGCTGAAATGTCATCATAGCAGGGCTCGTCAGTGTAATGTTCATGGTGTCTGTAAACTAAATGTTATTTAAGTTTGTTATGAAAGCATTCGCGTCTTCTATAAAAAGAGAAAAACTCTTATTTTTTTCTGAACACACACTACCTTCAGAAGAGTAAATTAATCGGGTGTTGCTTTACATTTATAATCAGAATAATAAGGAATGCTGTTTTTATGTTTTTTTTCTTTACATGCTGTTGTTGTTATTGTAGTCTTACTGTAGGTAATATACTGGATTGATGTTTGTTAATAGAGTCAGTTGCTCTGATGTTTCTGCTGCTTCATGCTTGTGTAGAGCTCAAGTGATTTTACTTCTAATGAAAACCATCATACATACAGTCCAGAACAGAACAGAACAGGGTTAAAACCGTGTGCAGGAAACAGCCTTTTAGGATTACTGTACATTTAAAACTTCAGCTAGTCCCAATTATGGTTCAATCACGTAAGCTACACCAGTTATTTTGTCAAGAGATTTCTTGTTTATTTTTGTGTTACATTGATGTGTCATTGCACACAATACTTCTATGCAAGCTAAACTATAGCTCATCCCTAATCTCTCCTCAGCAAACATACACAAACACACTCTGTTTTCTCAAAATATAATTTAAATAATTGTATACTTTTAATGTATACAATTTCCTTCTATTGCCTAGTCTTTAGACTAACTTTCACATTCTCATTTATAGATGTAGAATATATAGAGTATTTCTAAAACTATCTTTTTAATCTTTAAAAAAAAAAATAATATTCTTTTTTGTTCATGTCTTTCCTTACAGAAGGAATGTGTTTGGACCATTACATCTAGTCATCAGAAGCAGAGCTGTGGGACGTGTGGACAGACATTGGCTGTAATGATGGACTTCTGCTGATGGACAGGTAATGTAAATGCTTGTTTTACTGTACTAAACATGTAGGTTCCCATCATTTTCTTTTTGAAGGGCCTCCCCCTTTGAAAAGCAAATGATGGGAACCTAAGCGGGTGGGGAAGGGACGAGGAGGTGAAATTTTTATATAAAAAAATTATTTTTTTCCCTTGTTTCCAAAAAGCATAACCCCTGCTGCTGACTGTCCCGGAAGCTCCGGGGGGAGACCGTACTGGTATCCCCCTCCTTTGGGCGTGCCACTCACACAACATCCACTCCTATCGCGGAGATCTGGCTGGGATCAAACCAGCAACCTCTGAACCCGTGAGGCAGCGCTCTTACCTGTGAGCCACAGATCTCTTGCTGATACATGTGCTGGAACTTATATTTCACTGTTATCCTAAAAGAGTTTCCAATAAAGCAGTTTCAAAAAAGTGAAGATTCAAACCTGTGTCTTCATCAGTCTTGACCTCAGAGAGTGTGTGTTAATCCACTCACCCATCATGGATTTCACATTTATGGCTGGTTTTTTGGGCTCCTTGTCTAATGAGAACTATTGAAAGTCAGCAATAGTGGGACTTGAACTCAGGACGCTGTGATCGAAACACAACTCTTTCTCTCCTGAGCCACTGAGTCTGCTGAGATGAAGAGCGTTTTCAACCGGTTTGATCCAGAGTTGTGTGTTAAATGATGAATAACTTCAACAAACATGGATCTGAAACCTGGGATTTGAACCAGGACTGTCTGGTTGGTGAGGTTGACAACTATCCACTGAGCCGCAGAGACTGTGAATCAATGATGTTGTTTTAGATTTCAAGTTTAAGGTTCTTAGCGTATGTTAAAGATTATTGTCATTGATTAATAATTCATTGACTACTCAGATCTATTCTTTATAAAATGATTTTATTTTTAAGTTATTCTTTGTATCAACTGTATCAGTGTGCGTGTTGTGTCCTATCGTCTGTCTATATAAATATACATGCAAAAAAAGTCAGATCTAAAATTATTTTCGCCCTGCTGTGGTGATTTGTGTGAATTACACTATTGCAAATCAAGTCTAATAAACATAAGAGTGTCGCCCTCCTGTGGTGATTTGTGTGAATTACACCGCTGCAAATCGAGTCTAAAAAACATAAGTGGTGTGCCCTCCTGTGGTGATTTGTGTGAATTACACCGCTGCAAATCGAGTCTAAAAAACATAAGTGGTGTGCCCTCCTGTGGTGATTTGTGTGAATTACACCGTTGCAAATCGAGTCTAAAAAACATAAGTGGTGTGCCCTCCTGTGGTGATTTGTGTGAATTACACCGTTGCAAATCGAGTCTAAAAAACATAAGTGGTGTGCCCTCCTGTGGTGATTTGTGTGAATTACATATAGAGAGTAAAAGAAAAGTGGTGATTGTGTGAATCACACCGTTGCAAACCGAGTCCGATCGAATCTAAAAAACATAAGTGTTTCGCCCTCCTGTGGTGATTTGTGTGAATTACACCGCTGCAAATTTCTTCTGTCTTCTCTGTTCTGTCCTTATGTTAAAATACATACATACATAACGTTACACACACACACACACACACACACACATATATATATACAAAAAACTAGACTTTCTCATTCAAAGGAAATCATTATTTTCTGCACCACAGAGCTTGTCAAACATGTTGCTGCTGTAATTTTACAGGAACTTTAATCCAAAGTCTCAGATGTGATCCGACGAGAGTAAAGTGCAGTTTTCCTCCGCTCCTCAAGGCGGCAGAAGCGGGTTCTCCTTCAGTCTGACGCTTCTGCTGCTTGACAACATGACACTTGATGACAATCACAACAACACGAGCAGATCCTGCAGATGAGAAGATGACAGCTCTTAATGTCACTTTAACAGCACATATTACAGCTCAACCGCAAATAAAACCGACGCAATCAAACGACACATAAATGAGGAACCGAGTACGGCACAAGACTCACCTGTAAGTAACTTTTACTTTAGCATGAAGTCAAGTTCTCTTGTCAGTCGCTATTGTAGCGTTACCTTTTTAATCTTTGAATGAATCGCCCTCTGATATTCACACTGTAAAGTGTAATAAGAAGGACTCAGTTGATATTGCAGTGTTTTATGGGTGTATGTGAGAGTCAGCAGGAGTTGTGTCTTGTGTGAAGCTCTGATGTTCTCCTGTTGCTTCCTGCTTTTATTCTACTTCCTGTTATGACTGGGATCTGAGAGTGAAAACTGCCTTTAGAATGGTATGCAATTAAAATGTCACAGTATTACTACAAGCATGAAACAATACAAGTAAAGAGCAGTGACTAGACACTTTGCAATTGGTTTTCTTTGCATAGCATTTCTAATATTGTTCTGATGTTTTGTAGGTTTGGCTTTCTGTGAATGGGGAGTTAGTTTTTAGTTCTGTGTGTTCAGTGTTTTTATAATTGTGTGTGGCCTGTAAGACAGTGATTAAGTTGAATCTCTAGTTGTTGTTACATGTATAAGATTCAAATGAATCGTCCTCTGATTTATGTGTAGTGAAGTAGAATAATAAGCAATTGTTTCTAGTCTCTTTTGTTATTAGTTGTCTTACTTTATGTAATAATAATCTAGTGGATTGATGCGTGTTAATAGAATCAGTTGATGTGTGTGTGTGTGAGTGTGTGAAGTGTGTGTCTGCTGCTTGTATTGTATCGTAGAGATGCAGTGCCTTTCTTCTAATGAAAACTATCAGGATCAATCCTTGTGCAGGAACATGTCTTTTAGGGTTACTGTTGTGTGAAGGAAGGTTTCATCTTAAAGTTATAACTCCACTTGGGCAGTTCTTTACAGTGTACATGTTTAAGCATCAAGCGTCAGCGCTCGCACCAGAGACTTTATTTCTATTCAGTGTTTGTGTCCATTTGTAGCCTGTAAAACTGTAATTCAAATCATAGATTATTATTGATACAGCCTTACTGAACTATACTATATTATTATAATAGTAATATATTTTCACACTGTACAACTTTAGGCTTTTAATTTATTCCATTTCGTTTTATTAACTAGTCTTTAGACTAACTTTCACATTGTCATTTATAGATGTAGAATATTGAGTATTTCTAAAACTAATCTTTTTTTTCTTGTCTTTCCTTACAGAAGGAATGTGTTTGGACCATTACATCCAGTCATCAGAAGCAGAGCTGTGGGACGTGTGGACAGACATTGACTGTAATGATGGACTTCTGCTGATGGACAGGTATGTACATGCTTATGTTTTACTGTACTAAACATGTAGGTTCCCATCATTTTCTTTTTGGAGGGTGACCCCTTTAAAAAGCAAATGATGGGAACCTAAATAGGTGGGGAAGGGACGGCGGGGCAAAATTTTTAGACAGCTAAATTTTTATTGTATAAAAAAGCATAACCCCTGCTGTCCATTGTGGCGGGGCTCGGGGGGGGACCCGAATCATCCCCGCCCCTTCACACATACAGCATTCTCTCGTATCGCGGAGATCTGGCTGGGATCGAACCAGCAACCTCTGAACCCGTGAGGCAGCGCTCTTACCTGTGAGCCACAGATCTCTTGCTGATACATGTGCTGGAACTTATATTTCACTCTTCGAGCCCTGCGATTTTACAATAAATCATGCTGAGGTGGGGATCGAACCCACGTCTCCAGTGAAACCCATCAGCCGAGATCGTGTGTTGAGCCACTGCACCACTGTGGCTTTCACACTGAGATCTGGTGTTTTGGCCACTTTGTTTGATTTCATCACATCAATTTTGCGCTCAATTCTCATTTACTAAAGGAAAGCCTTTGTGCTTAACTGTTCACACACTCATATCGCAGAGACCCGGCTGGGATCGAACCAGCAACCTCTGAACCCGTGAGGCAGCGCTCTTACCTGTGAGCCACAAATCTCTTGCTGAGACATGTGCTGGAACTTGTATTTCAGTGTTATCCTGAGAGTTTCCAATAAAGCAGTTAAAGTGAGATTTGAACCCAATAGCTTAGCTGGGATTTGAACCTTAACTTCAGCGCACCCTTACCTTCACAGAACATGTATTTAACCACTGCACCACTGTGGTTTTCACTCTGAGAGCTGGTGTTTTGTCCACTTTGTTTGATATAACAACTATTGATAACAATTTTATTTAAATTATGGGGACCAAAAATGCTGAGATGGGATTTGAACCTTAACCTCAGCGCATCCTTACCTTCACAGAACATGTGTTTAACCACTGCACCACTGTGGTTTTCACTCTGAGAGCTGGTGTTTTGTCCACTTTGTTTGATAAAACAACTATTGATAACAATTTTATTTAAATTATTGGGACCAAAAATGCTGAGATGGGATTTGAACCTTAACCTCAGCGCATCCTTACCTTCACAGAACATGTGTTTAACCACTGCACCACTGTGGCTTTCACGCTGAGAGTTGGTGTTTTGGCCACTTTGTTTGATAAAACAACTATTGATAACAATTTTATTTAAATTATTGGGACCAAAAATGCTGAGATGGGATTTGAACCTTAACCTCAGCGCATCCTTACCTTCACAGAACATGTGTTTAACCACTGCACCACTGTGGCTTTCACGCTGAGAGTTGGTGTTTTGGCCACTTTGTTTGATAAAACAACTATTGATAACAATTTTATTTAAATTATTGGGACCAAAAATGCTGAGATGGGATTTGAACCTTAACCTCAGCGCATCCTTACCTTCACAGAACATGTGTTTTACCACTGAACCACTGCGGCTTTCGCTTTGAGAGTTGGTGTTTTGGTCAGTAGTGCATAGATCAGTAGTGCATAGATATATGCAGCATAGATATAGAACAGTGCTATATCTATGATGCATATATCTATGCACTAATGAGGGGGGCGCCAAGTCCGGAGAATTCGCGGGGAATTCGCGGAGAATTCGGGGACTTGGCGCCCCCAGGTTCCAGCGTCATTAGTGTATAGACATATGCAGCATAGATATATACATGATATATACATATCATGCATAGATATATGCAGCATAGATATAGCACTGTTCTATATCTATGCTGCATATATCTATGCACTACTGATGGGGGCGTATGCAGCATAGATATCTACACAGTGTCGTCTTTAGTGGCTCAGTGGTAGCAATACCGGCTCTGAAGCGAGAGGTTGCCGGTTCTGTTCCTACTTCTTCTTGCGTTTAGATGTGCAGTGGTTAAAAACATGTTCTGTGAAGGTAAGGATGCGCTGAGATTAAGGTTCAAATCCCAGCTAAGCTATTTTGGTCCCAATAATTTAAATAAAATTGTTATCAATAGTTGTTTTATCAAACAAAGTGGCCAAAACACCAACTCTCAAAGCGAAAGCCGCAGTGGTTCAGTGGTTAAACACATGTTCTGTGAAGGTAAGGATGCGCTGAGGTTAAGGTTCAAATCCCATCTCAGCATTTTTGGTCCCAATAATTTAAATAAAATTGTTATCAATAGTTGTTTTATCAAACAAAGTGGCCAAAACACCAACTCTCAGCGTGAAAGCCACAGTGGTGCAGTGGTTAAACACATGTTCTGTGAAGGTAAGGATGCGCTGAGGTTAAGGTTCAAATCCCATCTCAGCATTTTTGGTCCCAGTAATTTAAATAAAATTGTTATCAATAGTTGTTTTATCAAACAAAGTGGCCAAAACACCAACTCTCAGCGTGAAAGCCACAGTGGTTCAGTGGTTAAACACATGTTCTGTGAAGGTAAGGATGCGCTGAGGTTAAGGTTCAAATCCCATCTCAGCATTTTTGGTCCCAATAATTTAAATAAAATTGTTATCAATAGTTGTTTTATCAAACAAAGTGGCCAAAACACCAACTCTCAAAGCGAAAGCCACAGTGGTGCAGTGGTTAAATACATGTTCTGTGAAGGTAAGGATGTGCTGAGGTTAAGGTTCAAATCCCATCTCAGCATTTTTGGTCCCCATAATTTAAATAAAATTGTTATCAATAGTTGTTTTATCAAACAAAGTGGACAAAACACCAGCTCTCAGAGTGAAAACCACAGTGGTGCAGTGGTTAAACACATGTTCTGTGAAGGTAAGGATGCGCTGAGGTTAAGGTTCAAATCCCATCTCAGCATTTTTGGTCCCCATAATTTAAATAAAATTGTTATCAATAGTTGTTATATCAAACAAAGTGGACAAAACACCAGCTCTCAGAGTGAAAACCACAGTGGTGCAGTGGTTAAATACATGTTCTGTGAAGGTAAGGGTGCGCTGAAGTTAAGGTTCAAATCCCAGCTAAGCTATTGGGTTCAAATCTCACTTTAACTGCTTTATTGGAAACTCTCAGGATAACACTGAAATACAAGTTCCAGCACATGTCTCAGCAAGAGATTTGTGGCTCACAGGTAAGAGCGCTGCCTCACGGGTTCAGAGGTTGCTGGTTCGATCCCAGCCGGGTCTCTGCGATATGAGTGTGTGAACAGTTAAGCACAAAGGCTTTCCTTTAGTAAATGAGAATTGAGCGCAAAATTGATGTGATGAAATCAAACAAAGTGGCCAAAACACCAGATCTCAGTGTGAAAGCCACAGTGGTGCAGTGGCTCAACACACGATCTCGGCTGATGGGTTGCACTGGAGACGTGGGTTCGATCCCCACCTCAGCATGATTTATTGTAAAATCGCAGGGCTCGAAGAGTGAAATATAAGTTCCAGCACATGTATCAGCAAGAGATCTGTGGCTCACAGGTAAGAGCGCTGCCTCACGGGTTCAGAGGTTGCTGGTTCGATCCCAGCCAGATCTCCGCGATACGAGAGAATGCTGTATGTGTGAAGGGGCGGGGATGATTCGGGTCCCCCCCCGAGCCCCGCCACAATGGACAGCAGGGGTTATGCTTTTTTATACAATAAAAATTTAGCTGTCTAAAAATTTTGCCCCGCCGTCCCTTCCCCACCTATTTAGGTTCCCATCATTTGCTTTTTAAAGGGGTCACCCTCCAAAAAGAAAATGATGGGAACCTACATGTTTAGTACAGTAAAACATAAGCATGTACATACCTGTCCATCAGCAGAAGTCCATCATTACAGTCAATGTCTGTCCACACGTCCCACAGCTCTGCTTCTGATGACTGGATGTAATGGTCCAAACACATTCCTTCTGTAAGGAAAGACAAGAAAAAAAAGATTAGTTTTAGAAATACTCAATATTCTACATCTATAAATGACAATGTGAAAGTTAGTCTAAAGACTAGTTAATAAAAGGAAAGTGGAATAAATTAAAAGCCTAAAGTTGTACAGTGTGAAAATATATTACTATTATAATAATATAGTATAGTTCAGTAAGGCTGTATCAATAATAATCTATGATTTGAATTACAGTTTTACAGGCTACAAATGGACACAAACACTGAATAGAAATAAAGCCTTCGGTGCGAGCGCTGACGCTTGATGCTTAAACATGTACACTGTAAAGAACTGCCCAAGTGGAGTTATAACTTTAAGATGAAACCTTCCTTCACACAACAGTAACCCTAAAAGACATGTTCCTGCACAAGGATTGATCCTGACAGTTTTCATTAGAAGAAAGGCACTGCATCTCTACGATACAATACAAGCAGCACACACACACTCTCACACACACACACACACACACACACACACACACACACACACACACACACATCAACTGATTCTATTAACACGCATCAATCCACTAGATTATTATTACATAAAGTAAGACAACTAATAACAAAAGAGACTAGAAACAATTGCTTATTATTCTACTTCACTACACATAAATCAGAGGACGATTCATTTGAATCTTATACATGTAACAACAACTAGAGATTCAACTTAATCACTGTCTTACAGGCCACACACAATTATAAAAACACTGAACACACAGAACTAAAAACTAACTCCCCATTCACAGAAAGCCAAACCTACAAAACATCAGAACAATATTAGAAATGCTATGCAAAGAAAACCAATTGCAAAGTGTCTAGTCACTGCTCTTTACTTGTATTGTTTCATGCTTGTAGTAATACTGTGACATTTTAATTGCATACCATTCTAAAGGCAGTTTTCACTCTCAGATCCCAGTCATAACAGGAAGTAGAATAAAAGCAGGAAGCAACAGGAGAACATCAGAGCTTCACACAAGACACAACTCCTGCTGACTCTCACATACACCCAGAAAACACTGCAATATCAACTGAGTCCTTCTTATTACACTTTACAGTGTGAATATCAGAGGGCGATTCATTCAAAGATTAAAAAGGTAAC